TAAGGAGTGTTCACTTTCTTCTTTACAGGAATTCTTAACTTCTTCAATAATGCCTTCTTGAAGCCACTCTCTAAACACTTCTTCGTATGCTTCTAAGTTTCCGTTCCTCTACAGTGATTAAACGCAGCCCTTTAGCCTTCGTTCTGCAACATTTTTGCAAGTGGGCAAAGGAGGACGGCCTTGTATCCATGGGAGGCTTACAACGTACCTTCCATCGACATCTCATTTTACACTTCTGTTAAAATGTTCTTCAGCTGCCATCTCAAGCTCTTGTTGACTTCCCTTTTCTCCAGGGTCCAAAATTCTAAGTGTATCAAGTCATCATAAGTCTGAAATTCTTACATCGTTTATATGTAGTGACATAACGCCATTCGTGCTATCTGAAATTTCGATCGTATCAGTCTTACCCATTAGTGTCCATCCAAGCCGCATTTCCATCAAGACTAGATCTGAGTCTAACTGTTTTATGTTTCCGGTATACGGTTTACCTACGACATCAGCCCCTATGAGTCCATGAATCTCATCAGGAGAGAATTGATACAACAGATCTACTTTATCATTCAAATCAAACAGAAAAATTTTATATTTCTTAATTTCAATCATAAATTTACCACGCAGTATTTTTGGGACTTCGGAACAAATTTTTTCTTGATTTAACACCTTGAAATTACATCAATAATTATCTGAAAAATTGCTAAGGCGAATCAAACATCTCTTATGTGTTTCCATAATTTCTATACCGCTGAACAAACTATGTGTTAAAATTTCTTCACCAATACATTCATATCCCATTTCCATTATTGCAAAATTTGACAACTAAGATTTACTGCTGCCTGAGTCAATTAATACCCTTATGTATTTCGTTTTATTCTTATTCCTAAGACGAACAATAAGTGTTTGCAAGAGAGAGAAGTAGCTGTTTTGTTAGATAGAGCGGAGTCTTTACTTTTGATTTGTCTCTCCTCCACCTGGAGCGATCGGTTCGAATTTTCGGGATTGCATTTTTCAGTACACATTACAGTCAAAAGTCGTTAATCCGGACTTGTCGGGACTTTGGCAAATTCCGGATTATCGATTTTTCCGGATTATAGATCATCAGTTTAAATCTCGTAAGATGGCATGCAGAAATTCTAAAATTAAAAACATGAAACCGTAATTTATGAAATAAAGAACAATTATGATCAAGGGTATCAAAATTTACAAAAAAAAAAAAGCTTATTATTTATTTGTTTACTTTATTAAACATTTCTTTCAATGTAAGTTATTTAAGTTGCTTCGTTTTATGTGATAATACTTTCTCTTTAATTCTATAAACAGACATAATTTCTTGTTCAGTTACAAAGTTCCGCTGATCAAGTCCCGCAATTGCTGTATCGAGAATACCGACTAACTTGTCAATCGAAATTTTTTCGTTTTCACTAACCTCTGTGTCACCTTCTTCATGTCTTTATCCATTTTTTGCAGCAATTCCACTTTTTGTTTGATGGACATCGAAACATACTTTCGTTTTGTAGATCCTTTGGGAGCTCCAGCATCGGAAATTCTATTTGACATAATGGAAAGTTCAAGTTTACTTTTGTAACATTGCTCTTACAGTCTGCAAAAAATAATAAGCCGCATCCAATTCAAAGATTAAGGAACAATGCAATCATCAACATTAACTAAAATAGATAATTTTAGCTTATACCATCCGTTATACATTAAACGTGCACACGAAAATGTATTCTGCACTTGCGCACACGCATCTGCGCAGTCGTAAAGATCTTACGCGCACGCGTAAATGCCTATGCGCATGTGTCAACGCGGCGCATGCGCAGAAAGTTTTTAGCTTTGAGGTCCGGATTATAGATCATTCCGGATTATGGGTGTCCGAATTAACGACTTTTGACTGTAATTTAAAATGACCCTTACCGCAAATCTCACACGGTGGTACTTCATTTTACAAAATTGAGAAATATGCTTTCTTACTGCTAAACATCTGAAACATGCACCCCTTTTTAGCAGCATTTTCTTTTTCTCTTCATAAGGCAAATTATCAGCATACCTACATTGGCTACTCATATGTGCTTTGTTACAAAATACACAAGTTTCCTTTTTAATATCCAAAGCATTACATAACTCTGCAGCTGTCGGAGTAAATCTTTCCTGTCAAACTGACGCGGGTGAAATAATTTTGCTTTTGATTTCGGTTTCACGGTTAAATCCGGTCCGTGCTAGACGCACTTTCTCTTCACTTTCAATCTCGTGACATAAAAATTTCATCAGGTTATCTAACTTATCAACAGTGTCTTCTTTAGATGTTAGGGATATGGAATTCAAATTTCTTTCTCAAACTCTCAATATATCTACAGGTGAACAAGATTCAATCAACGGATACAGTATTGAAGAATAATTTGCGCTGGAAACACCTAACATATTTAAAGACCTTAAATGAGTTTCAATCTTATCGTAAAGTTTAAAAAGAAGCATTTTAGGGCCTTTACCGATTGCGTTATTAATCATCAATGAAAGAACTTCTCTAATATACACTTCGATTAACATGTCATTTCGGCTAAATCTTGCCTTTAAACATTGTATTACGTTTTCATAACTGTCAGCTGTGGCCGGAAATGATTCAACCAGTTCTCGCGCTCTTGAACCCTTTAGTAATAAGTACTGATATTTATCCTCCTTTGTGATTTCATTATCGTTGTGTATCTTCTCAAATTGTGCCCAAAATGACGACCATTCTTTGATATCACCGCCGAACAACTTAAATTCTATTTTAGGAAGCTTAAACTTCTATTTCGCTGAATCATTAACTATTTGAGGATTAGATAGATTTGTATCAATAACAGTAGAGTTTTGGTTTGCCTAATGAATCCGTTTTTTCTCTCTAAATTTCCACAACAGAATTCTTTTGCGATATTCTTCTGTAGTTTGAATATCTTCATCGAATTCTTCTGGTTTCAAAGTACCTTCGATTTCAGAATCAGCTATCTTAAGGGATTCAAACTTATCATTCAAGAGTTCTAAGTCTTCTTCTAACAAATTTATATCAACAGAAGACTTATCTAGTTCAAATTCTATTTTCTTAAGAATTCTGGTAATGGACGTTCTCAAACCACCTCTCTTTTTCTTTAGTAATATCTTCTACTGACATGTTTACTGAATCAAACATATAACATATAAAATCTTAAAGAATTCAATAAGTGCCTTTCAAATTCAAAATACATAAATTCATTAATATCAATCATCGATTAATTCTCTTTCGTCTCAGCACGGGATGCCAAATTAATATTGTGTCAATTCAATAGACAATATTAATCAATGCATAAAGCATTTCAACAGTAGGTAAGCAAAATAGTACTTATCTGAATCACCGGGTTCTTCATTCAGGTATATCCAAAAAATATGCACAGGTTCAGCTTTTTAAAACTTTAATCTGTATACAAGTTATAAAAGAGAGGGTTATTACAAGAGATCAAAAACTACGCATCCATTTCCTAAGGCATTCATTAACAAACTAAACTAAAAATAGAACACTGATTACATCACAAATCGTTGAGTGCGCTGTAAAACTTACGCAATCAGTTCCAATCGTTATGTGCGCGCATAGGCGGAAGTATTACATATTCAACAAAATGTTATCCTCTTGAAAAGTGGCCCTGATATGAAAGGTAACATCACTGGTAACAGGACCTCATCAGCAAGCTTTATTCATACATCATTCTATAGTGCAATATTTAATAAATTTTTCTTCCATTTCAGCAACTTTCCCATACAGTGCTTTTATAACACTATGTTTTTTTAGTCTCTTGACCTATTGCATTAACTTTCCTAACTCAAAGAAAACAGTTTCTGTCATTTCCTCCATCATTAAGTCTGTTTTTATTGCAACCTCAAGCTAATACTTGGAGTCACTTTCTTCATATATATACACTTACTTCAGCTGTTAATTCATCACTGGCAGCTGTTCTGTCTACTTAGTTAAACTTTCGTATTTCTGATTAGAGGCATTCAAGAATAGTATCTCGTTTTTGACTGTTTTAAGGAATGAAATTAACTATATATAATATGATAAGACTTCGTACAGTGCTTAAGTTCCTTAACTTTTGTATTTTGTCCCTCCCCCATTTTAAATTTATGAAACATACTTTACCACAGCAATGTAATAAATAAAAGATAAAATAAGACTAAATTAAATATAAGACTTAAATAAGTGTAAAATAAGACTTGAATTTTATTGCATTTATTTTTCTAATCTGAGTAACCTTTGGAGTGGGTACATGTGTATCAGTTTTTATGGATATGTAAGAAAATTTGTAAATTTATAATCATGTTGGCAGATATAACAATCATTTAAAATTTTTTTAAAAATTAAATTAATCTTATTAAAAGATTCAAGTGATGCACACATATATGTAGAAAGGCCATAGAGCATTTGTTCTTAACCCTTTTCGCCTCATGCATCCATTTCACCATTGCTAGAAGATCATTTCTCCCTCTTGTACTTTTCAAAACTTCAAAAATACATACATGCATTTATTTAAATTTACGTTATTTTCTAATCTCTTTTTTTAAATTAAGCAAAAAAATGCAGAAAATGTTCGTAAATGCCAAAATTTGAATAAAAGGGAAATTTTTTTTCTCATATTTATAAACTTAAAGTGTTTTACTTAGTTAAATAAAATGATGATCACATTCTTTCCCTTATTTTCTCTGATTGAGAACCCTTGCGATAGAACATGTATAATTTTTTTAATGATTACTTTTTAAAGGCTTTTATGCCCGTTTCATATATTTAATGAAAATTAGCACTGTTATTCCTTTGAGACAAAAATTTTATAATGAAAGTGCTGTATTTTTCTCAATAAATATTTAAGCCAATTTTTAGTGTTAATAAGGGTTTTTTCCCCTTTTGTTACATTCTGTATATTTTAATCCTTTAATTTCATAAAAATGAACAAATTTCAGTTTCCTTTTTTGATTTTTACATTAATTAATTACTTTCATACCAGGATTGTAGATCCATCTCATCAGGCTATTCGAGCAATGTTTCCTTTGGAAGATGTTTCTTTCTGGACTACACATAAAGAAAATAATAGGTACTGAAATTTAAAAAAGATATTCTTTATGATTTCTATAAACTTTTTGCTCTTGCCAGTAGTTTGATGAAAAAGAATTTTAAGTAATACAAAACTGAAAATTATCATGTACTGAAAATTGCACTATTAATTTTCCTATGGATGCTAATTTTGCATGAATTTTTAAAATTTTTTTTATTCTAGTTTTCAGTAACTCAGAACATGTTTTCCACTAGCACGAAGTAGTGAGCAACGTAATAAAATGGCAATTAGTAATGAACTAATATCTTATTGAAATTTAAAATAAAGGTAAAATATCAGAGATACAATAAAACTTAAATTTTTATTATATATATTTTTCTAAATTGTGAAGGCTTCTTTATCATTCACCAAACATGCCTTGTAAATTTATTAGTGGAAATTGTAGGAATATAATTTTGTTGTTGTTATTTTTACCTTCAATTTTTCTTTTTTAGCACAGCACATATATATCCCTCTACACAAATAATATATAATTTACCATTCAGTTCATTGTCTGAATTATGTAGAAAGGCATTCTCATGGTTATTGGAGATCACTTCTTGATTGATCATGACCTGTGAAGTAATTTATAACAACCATGATCATCAACTTAGAAATACTTTCCAATAACAATGCTTATAAAATTTAAAGAGGGAAGCAGTTTTCTTTTTTTTTCCTTTCTTTTTTTTTTTTTTTTTTTTTGTTTTTATTGATATAGTATAAGTTTTGATGGGACTAGTAGCTGATGATAATATCACTACTTGATGCCTAGTAAAATATTCACTTGTATCTTACACTCTAATCTGCTAACTATAAACTCTCAGTTATATCATAAATGCTGATATATTATCAACAACTTTCATGGCATTGCTCAATTAGTAATATCATTATTCATTGTACATATCATATAATTATGTCATTTCAAAATGTGTGTTTTCAGTGTCGGAGAAAGCAGTTTTAATTAATTGCATTTTATTAGTTTTTTGAATCTATCACTGAGCTTTATCAAATTCTTTCAAATAAGAAATTTTTAATTTGATAATTTTTTTAGTATATAGTCTTTGATAGTCCTATTAATTAGCTTGGAAGAAAATTACCAAATGTGTGAGATTGTAAAATTATGTTTGAGAAATTATAAGCGTTTTAAGGTTTGTAAAATTATATTTTAGAAACCTTAAGTGTTTTATGATTTTCATTACGAAGTAATATGAATGAAAACATTAACTTTAGGTATTTCATTCTATCTGATAAAGTTAATAAAATATATTTCTAACTATTGCAGATTGCTTGGGTTTATAACAAGAACTAAACTGGATTCTGAAAGTAGACCATCCTTTCATTGTCATGTTTTTGAGGCTCAACCTTCAGCTGATGAGGTAACTTTACTTTCTTGTTTAGCTTTATGAATATGCAAAGAGATGTATAATGTTAACAAATATATGTGGAAAGCTAAACAGATATAAAACTGCTTTCTTCAAATCGTAATGAATTCAGTTATAATATTTTGCAGATGCAACATTTTATCTAGTGTATGAAAGTATTGCCATTTTAATATAAAAAGTTATTATATATAAATTACATTTCAAATAATTTATAAGGAACAACATTAAATGAGAGAATTTAGTATAAATTCTGTGCGTTATTGTATTTAATGTTTGTATTTTATCATACATTACTTTTTTTTATTATATTGCCTGTATACATCATCATATTAATTTTAATTATTATCTTTATGCCAATCTTGATTAGGTTTTAATTTATATTACTCTAAAAATTTCCCCCTTTCTAGATATGTTCTGCCCTTTCAAAGGCTGCCAATATCGCTCTATCTGTTCTTTTGGTAAGTTTTGTTTTTTAAATTCTGCAGTATTAAATTTAATATTATTTTTGTAAATATTCTTATTTCCCCTTTAAAAATGTATGTGTGTGCATATATATATATATATATATATATATATATTTTTTTTTTTTTTTTTTTTTTTTGTAGGAGCAGACACTTGGTACAACAGAAGTATGTACATTTTAAATATTTATTTTCATTTTTTTTTAAAGTTTATAATGCATTTGTCTTTACTTCCAATTCATTTTATGTTTGATTTGTATTATTATTTAAATCCTTGATTGCATTAATGTATTTTTATCTGTTGTATTATTTTAATCTAACTTTTCTAAAAATATTTCATTTCTGATATTAAATATTATATATATTTCTGATATTCAAATATTTCATGCTTCATATTTATAAAAATGCATTTCATATTCAAGCATGGCTGCCACCAAACAGAATCCTCAAAATTATTAAATTTATTTCTTAGCAACTCATCATTGTCCCCAATTCTTTAAGAGTCATCATAAGCATAGAATTCAGTTTAAAATAAATATTCCAAGCAACATTTTAAAGTAATTATTGAAAATTTTACTTACCATATTAAATACATGAGAATTAAGTAATTCTTGTAATTTCGATAGCAAATTTATTTGTTCTGCTTCCTTTGGTGGAAAAAACATAGGTTTTTGAAAAAAAATTGCCATATGCCTGACATTTAATGTTAAAAATACTTTACTGGTAAGGATTGTGACTAAACTTGTATATTCCTTTCGAAATATTAACTCTGCAGAAATTTTTAATAAACTTTCTTTTAACAGTTTTGAATTTTGTTTGTGAAAATTAATTTTGTTGCGATACATGATTGAAATTAATTTTTAATGTAAAAAAACTGTTAACGGTAAATTTTAGTTAGTTATGAAATCTTATATTTTTGCTTAAATATTCTTAGGTTTAGTGAACTATGTGTAAATTTCAAAACTAAAATGTAGATTTTTCAGTATGCATAATCTTGTTTCACCTGCCTATCAGTTTGATAATCATCATTTGTTTAACAAAATTAGAGCTATATTAGAAAACATTTCTTCTTATTGAAAAATTTTGATTATAGTGGAATCGAAAGATTAGAATTCTTATTTTGTTTCATTCACTGAACTATTAATACAGAGATAATCTTCAAAAATGTGCTTATTTGAAAAAATGTTATTGGTGATAGAACTGAATTTCTCTAAGTCTGTGATTCAGTGAATGACTTGTATCAATTTGTTAAACAGATATTTGAGGCAATAAGGAGTGCTATGCAGTTTATTTTACACAAAAGCAAAGAATTCCTGTTTTGTTCTTTTCAAAACATTATGGGATCTGGTGTGTATTTGTTCTTTTCAAAACATTATGGAATCTGGTGTGTATTCCACAAAAGAAACGTTTTGCTTTTCTCTAAATCATTCATTCATAGCCTCTTCCTTTTTGATGCATTGATCAGTGTATAAGTGCATTCCAAATCAATGAATAATGATTTCAATGCATCCTCAGCACATTTTTGAAGCATGGGAAGCAGATAAAGGCTTGTGACATGGTACCATGTATGCTCATTATATTTTAATGCAAAAAGGAAAATTGAAAATTTTGCTATTGTTCATCTTTTTATCCTGAAACCTAAAAATATAGACATTTTATGTTTCCCAGTACCATCATGTCTATGTGATCAAGATAAAATTCAAACTTAAGTGCACGAAATTTTTCAAATACCATACTTTATCCAAAGCAGCTTTATCTCAAAATTGTGATCATCTGACTAAAATAGTGAACATTTTAGATCCTATGAATTAGATTAAGCAATTGATCAATAATACAAATATGCATTAAAAAATACTTAAAAATATTTTAAATACTCTCATTTTTTCATTTTAATTGACACAAATGACAAAATTAATAAGATTTCCCTGAATAAAGTTAAAAAAAAACTGCTAATGTATAATTGTGTAAATAATTTGATAAGGAATTAAGCACAGAAGAAATTAAAGATATTAAAACATTTATGCATTCATGATGAAATTTATTGATAGTTAAAAATATGTGCTGAATATTAATTATTGTTCAAAGTAGTAATATGCGAATATTAATTATTGTTTAAAGTAGTAATATGCATAATATACTTACTGGAACTCATTTTTAGTAATAGAAAATCATACGACTACAAATTCGTGAAATAAAAAGAAGTATAGTTAATTTTTTTTTAATATTTATACCTTCCAAATAAAGGACATTTCTGTTTAGTGGACAAAATTAATGATCCTATGAGTGTCCATTATTAGGGAGGTTTATTGCATTTTCTTTTTATTTATATTTAAGCGTAAATATGTTCTGTATTCTTGTGAATGAAAGTTTATGACAGAATGTGTAAGCAAAAATTCTACCTTTCATTTTTTTTAAGAGCAGGAAAAAGACTAGAGGAAATTATAATTTTTTTTCATTTAATACTGTTTTAAATTTAGGAGGAAAACTTGAAAGAGGATAACAAAGTAGATAGAAATGATGTTGAAAAGATTGCAGAAAAAGCTCAAGTTGCTGCCAATGAGAAAACTAAAGACTTGGATGCTACAACAGACAGTCTTGAAATGGGTGATGCAAAATAACTACAGTAAATATAACTTTTGTTTGAGTGTTATATGAGCCTGGTGTTATATCCTGATTTTTAAAGTAAATTAATATATATATATATATGTTAATTTTGTTCGAATTTTAATTTTATGCTTGAACCATTTTATTGAATGCTTATTTATGCGACTAAGTGCTAATTGTATGATAAATAGTGTTAAGTAAATGGTTCATTTTCCAATATTTTATTTAACGTTTTTGTTAATTTCTCATACATTAAAATATAGAAAAAATTTCAAACATAAAAAACTAATGTAAAATATTTTGCTTAAAATTTGGTTTGTTGTAAATAGATGACTAAGTCATTCATTTATTGTAACTTTTTAAAAATTTTAATGACACTGTGCAAATGTTGGTGCGTTATTTCTGTTATTTTTGTTTCAAATGTGTTTATAAATTTCTTATATGTTGTTCACTTATGTAAATTTCCTGTATATTGAATTCTTTTGTCTGACTGTTTATATATGTGTGCATTAGATGTATAATCATGTTAAATTTAAAAAATAAATTAGCAGTTTTTCTCTTTGCTGTAAGATGCACAGTATAATTAGAATATGAATATATGAAAGTAAATAAAATGATGAAAAATTCTAATTAACTTTATTTTGTGGGTATTCAAAGTTAAAAGAAAATCATCTTACAAGCTTGTTTATAGAAATATCAACTAAAATAAATCTATGCCAACAACGTTTTTGCTCTGACATGAGATTCTGGACACTAGAAAAAGAAAATTAAGATGGACTGTTGTGATGGTCAAAGATTTCCGAATGAGTTAGATACATTGAACTCGTAATGAAAATATCAGCATTTTCACTTTTTTTCTTTTTCATATAAATTAGTTCATTGATTAATAAATCAGATTAAAAAAGTATTTTGCTGCATCTTGTATTTATTATTTTTACAAGCTTAGAGCTGGCCATGCACTGCCTATGGATTCATTTAAACATAAACTCATTAAAGATCTCTGTAGTGAAAACATTGCACACTGCTTCAACACTGAAAAAGTATTAAGTATGTGCTTCCTTAATTAAATATATTTTTGACAAAACTTTGTTATATGTAAGAAGGAGACTTCTGATATTTTCTTTACTTGGAAGCAAATGAATATTAAAAAAAGTGATAACGTGTAGGTTTTAATAAATACTATTATTTCATGCAATATTAGGCAATCAAAAGAGAAAAATTGTTTCTGTGCAAAAATGAAATATATTTTTGTATTTGGCAGTAGTCTTTTAAACAAAACACAATTATTTTTTGTAAAGGACTTAATAGATAAAAGATAACTAAAAATAATTAAGATTTAAATTTAACAAGGGAAAAAAAATTACAAGACTTTTTCCACTTCCTTAAATTACTTCATGACTATTTTATTGTTATTAGTACTCTTTAATAAGTCAAGAAACAAACTACTAGGGATAGCTTAGTGAACAAATTTAATGTTTTAAATAATATATGCAGAATAGATAATTTTTAACTAGATCAGGAAAACTATGTTCATCTTTTCATTCAAATAACATACTTAGAAAACTGAGTTGTTACTGACGTGTTTTTGTCGGCAGTGAATTGTTTAACTAAATATGCATTTTGTATATCATGTGCCATGAGTGATTTCAAATTTGATTTAATACTATAAGATCAAAAATCATAAAAATTATCTGCATATGCCTCTTATTATTATATTTGCTAAAAATATTGCAGTTTATTAATGTTAAAAAATATAAACATTTTTGGTTAATATCATGTTAATCATTTTACCATAAATATCTGTTACTGCTTATTTCAATATTAAAATCATATGCTACTGAAGGAATATCTGAACTTTTCAAATGAAACTTCTTTTTGTTTTGAATTAAAAGGATCCTTGCAGCTTTCTTAAAAGATAAATGCATAAATCTAGATAAAAAATTAGCAAAAATAAGTCAGCAGCCTTTGCAAGATGCAGCAGATCACTGCATCTGGAAGATAACTTTAAGAAAAATGGTCTAATAATATCATATTATTTATTAACTTGCCATTAGTTTTACTTTATTCTGTAATGCAATATAATGTGTTGTAGCTTGTACATAGTTAATCTGAATAGAAAATTTAAGGTTAATATTTCAGTATGCATGATTTCCTATGTTAGTTATCATCTTTAACTGTATATTTTAAAATCCTTCTGTGTTCAGAATCATTACACCAAAAAACTATAAATATTGATTTTTCATCTCATAATTTTAATCTGATTGAGTTGTAAAAATGGTTAGTCTTGGTTGTATAAAAAATATCTTCGCTAAGTTTAGTTCTGGTTGTCCAAAATGTGATATTTTAACATTGCTATTAATAAGGCTGTAATGCTATTGAGCTGTATATGTTCAATTAAGTGTATTTTTAGGCCGTATTTTTATTTTTAATCATTAAAATTAACTGAGCATTTATGAATTTGATTAATATCAAAATATTCCTGAGTGAGGAAAATGATTGTGATTCCTAAAAAAATCTTTTTTAGTAGTTGTAGACATTTGTTTGACATACTTCTAAAAGGCAATAATTTTATGTAATAATTGATTTTAATTCTTTGTTTCACTTTGAGATATTGCAAAGACGTGAAGATTGTTTGATGTTTAATTTTTTAAATAACTTATTTTATGCAAGTGAATGCATGTATTTTAAAGTAATGAATACATTTGTTCATAGTTTATAATATGATTGTTACTTTTAAGACTTATAACATGAAAAAAAAAATTAAAAGTCATTATTTATTAGCATGCTTTTATATGAAATAAGCAATATGTTCACTACTGTGATAAAAAGAAAGTGAATTGATTAACTAAAACCAGGCATCAATTACCCAATTATTAATTAAATTAGTGTAGAAGTTATGGAAAAACTCTTTCAGGTGATACTTATGAAGTCCTATTTTATCAGGGATTGAAAATGTTTGAATAAAATATTTATGCTTCTTGAAGAACAGGGTCCCATTTCTGTTCTCTCTCAAAATAAAATTTTCAATAAAATCAACACTAGTCTAAAGTTGACTTTAGTCTTATTTTAGTTCGGATATTAGTGTGCATTTCTTCCATATAAATGTGCTAATATCCTTGTAATGTAGTTTAAATTTATGTGACCTAATACAAATAGTTTTATTTCATAAAAAAGCATTTTATATTTCTGAATGTTTAATAAGCATAACATACTTAAGATACTTTATAATTCCAAACCATTCTGTAATAAAATTGCTGTCATCATCTTTTTTTTTTTTTTTTTTCCTTCCTTCTTTTTTTTAAATTTAAAGTGTTTCAGTTGTCAGTTTTTAGGTTTTGTTTTCCACCACTGCTGTTAAGAAATCATTTCAAGCTAAAATATTACAAGAAGCACTTTTATTGAAGGACATTATTTTTTAAGACATACATGCTATTCTAAATTTTAATATATATATATATATATATATATTGAAAAAAAAATGTAATTATATATATATGTATATGTTCACGATTATATATATATTCTTGAATGAATCTATAATATTGAATATATATATATATATATATATGTTCAAGATTTCATTTTAAATATGCTTATGAATTACTTCAATAGAATTCTAACTACTTTTTTCAAAGGAGATAATATATTAACGAAAAAATTATATAAAATTATTACTATAAAATAAATTATTATATATATATATATAAATACATAGGGCGGGCAGTAAGTCAGGGAAAGTGCAGAATCAACCACTGCTTGGTGCGTTTTTAAGAATTGCACATACTCGGTATCCATGTACACATCAATCTATTTGCACTTAAAAAAACATCCTAGAATTGCACAAAAATGGCATTGCGCACTCACTTAACTTTATCCATGTATACATCGACCTATTTTCACTTAAAAAGTCAAAGAAAATTGACAAAAATCCAATTCTTCTTACTCTTGTCAAAAGCGCCAAACAAATAAGTGGGCGATTCTGCACTTTACCCAGTAAGTCTTTGAAATTAAATATATGAATTAATTATATGAAAGATGGACAGCTGATGACAAAATGGTAACTTACAATCACCAAGTGAACAAACACTGCTGACATAATGTGATGAAAAATGCTAAAACGTAATTTTTATTGTAGAAAAACTTCAGTGCAAAAAGTTGTAGGTAAATAGTAAAAATAAATAAATAAAAAAAAGAGTGGGAAATATGATCTTGAACTTTTCTTTGATTAAAATTGTAAATCTTGACTTTTGTATGACTTTTATCGCACACTTCTAACATAAATTAACTTTATTAAACAAATAATTTAACAGGAATTTTGATTAAATCTCTGAAAAAATGGTTGTGCTTTACAGTGTAAGAGTAAATTCTGAGTTTTAAGGTCTATATTTTCAGTTAGGAGGATTACTAAGCTACATTGTTTTAATCTTCAGTTGATGCTATAATTGCCTCAGTCTTGCTTAATTGGGAGAGGAGATACTCTATTTCCTTTTTTAACTATATATATATATATGCCAATATCTAATCAGTCTTTTTGGCATAAAAATTATACTTCAGAATTAAACTATTTCTAATGTGCCAATATCTTATTTTCTGAATCTCATTAACTTTCTTTTGTAAACATAATTTAAATATATGTTATAAAGCATATTACTATATATAATGCATTGTACATAATTTATATGCATATATTATAAATTTGTGCTATTTGATTTCATTATTTTATAATAAAATTACTGAATATATGTTAAGAGAATGAGATATAAGCATTACGTGTTTATCCTGTGTGCTCTTAACAATACAACTTGCCATTTCATTTAAAATAATAACAATTTCAGCTGGAGAACATTATCGTAAATATATGTGAGATGCTGGTGTTAATGTTATCTGTATTTGCTTTCAAAAAAATTTTTTTTTAATGTTTGTAGAATTCAAGTTTTAAAATTATGTAAAAAGCTTATTTTTAATCAACTGAACAAAATATATGTTAAGATAAAAATCAAAATCTAGTTAGGTATTGCATATATCAATTAGTTTCAAAATAGATAAAAATTAAGGCAAAGTTACACATACAGGCTGTAAAAAATTGTTCATAAGAACAGACATGGATTTTAATTTTGTTCATCTTTTGCTGATAAGTTTCTGGCAATTTTAACTGACATTTACATAATTTTCTTCTATCATATGCTAAGCATTTTGTTTCATTTACAGTTTATTTCTAATAGAAATTTTAATAGTTAATTTACATTTTATTTTTAATAGAAATTTTAATAGTTAATTTACATTTTATTTTTAATAGAGAAATATCAATTTACATAATATGTAGTGTAATAATAATATGTAATGAATAGAAAGTCAAAGTTTGGATGGTGAAGAAAAGTTTTTTTAGCATAATATGTAAATAAAATTATATTATAGTTATTAGAAGCTTAAAAGATAAGAGTTAGGTGAAGAATATTAAACTACATACCAAACCATTTGACTCTTCAGATTTTAAAATTAAATTAATGAATTAATGAAAACAGAAAAACTTTTATTTTTAGAAATGAACTACTGTATTATGTAACAAATATTTGTCTTCCTGTTTCACATATAAACGAAAATTTTTTAAATGCAAATAGATAGTTGGCTTTTTTTATAAAATTTTTTTATATTGATACCAAATTCAATTTCTGACACAACAATGAATTTGATGGTTATTGTATATTTGTTAACACTAATATTTTTATTCATATTTCAATAAGTTTAATGTATACCTGCCAAACTGAAAATACATTTTACCAAAATAAGTTCCAGTGATTATTATGCTATGTGCAATAAAGCTAAATTCTTGCAAAAAATTTGTATATTTTAAAACATAAAGTAATTGGAATTACTCATCTTTCTATTAAGTATTTTAAATACAAATGC